TTTAATTTTGTTTGTATTCTAGCCTCTGATTGGTTAATATCCAAAAAGGAACACAAATTATTTCTGTATAACCTGGTTTGGTATGGGGACACACACCCCTGACAACCAGCTGAATCATCTGTATCCATACAATCCTCTCATTTCCAGTCCTCGGGATTCATGGAAAATTCCATATTAAATAAATGTACCTTTAAATTCAAACAATAATTCGATCTTACCACATGTAACCAAACAACATGGCTGCTATGCCTATGTATCAGTTTTTACCTCCCCTCGCTTCCCATCACTTCCGTTACTTCCGTTACTATGGTTGTATTATTGAGCGGCAAATTTGAACTAACAAAAAGTAACGAAATTTTACACCCATAGTTATTTAATGATTTTAAAATTAAATTATAAGGAATGACTCTAATTCTTGGCCAAATTATTCGAGTATAACCTGGTTTGGGTCAGTTTTTATATATATATATATCAAGTTTTAAATGTGCTGTACATATAAACTTATCTTCTATAAAAAGCACCGAAATATTTTCAAAGTATAATATAAAACAGTACAAATTTCCTACTTAGAACAATCTATGTCTTTAGTTTTCGTCGAGAACGAACAAAGAATGATGCAGTCTATAAATAGATCGAGGTTCATTTCTTTATTCAGAGAGTGTGCGTGAAGAAGCAGGCCTTCTGATTGGAGCAAATAGTAGGAGTTTCTTTAGAACAAGTCGTGTAAATATTTTTCCCAGAATTCCAAATTACGCGAGCGCACTTGCAGTTTTGTCATGTTGTAAATTTTGAATTTACCGGGTGGCAGTAAATACAAAATTGACAACATGACAACTTAATTGTAAATTTTGTATTTACTGCCACCCGGTAAATTCAAAATTTACAACATGACAGTTTCATCCCACCGTAACTAGTCAGCCCGCGGGCTGACTAATTAAAGTCATATACGGCGTATTTTTGATAAATTAAGACTAACTAAAATTAGAAAGATCTTTCTAATTGTTTTATTACTTTATATAAAGATAGGATTTTCCTGTAAATTACACAATTTAAATCAATCGCGTTTCATAGATATTAGAAATTTAAAACAATAACCGATTTATTTACCGACTCCGCATTTAAATATCAGACACAGTTTAAAGTCAATTTAACTATAGAAACGTGCGGTTATTCAAGTTCAAAATCGGTGAAAATTTTAATTTGAACGTAAATAACAAATATCATGTACATATACACTCAATCTCAATTTTTTTTTTTACTTTAGCTCAGATACGCCATATGCATATAAAAGAAGGATAAAAGAAGCTTTAAAAGAAGGATAGATTAAGTTAGTTGTTGATCTATGGATATACATAATATAATATTTATATGATTGCGCCCATGAGGATAGTGTGCTTATGACAGTTTTTTTCCTTTGTTTTGTTTTGTTTTGTTTGTTTGTTTGTTTGTTTTTTTTGTTTGTTTGTTTGTTTGTCTTTTTTTTTTTTATACATATACTGTGTTTTTACATCTTTATACGATACATTTTTTTCAAAGTCCATTTACTTACATAGGTTATGAAGGTTACTTAAGCATGATTAAGATTTTTGCCGCCATCTTGGGGCCAACATCCTTAATTCCTTATAAGTTTAAACCCCCGTGAGCTATAAGTTTAAGATAGGTTTGCTGATCACCCCTTGTCCAGCGTTCGTTTGTTTGTCTGTCTGTAAACTTCATACTTTTTAGTTCATCTGAAATCTCAAGTGAGCTTTTCTGGTCACCTGTTGTCCAGTGACCGTCCGTCTGTCTGTCCGTCAGTAAACATTACACATTTTCCTTTCTCAAAAGCCACTGGGTCAAATCAAATAGTAGAAAAATCTTTTTAAAATCCTCTAGGCTGAATAACCACTGGGTCAGAAAATACGAAATCTAGGTGAAGGCTTTCTGACAAAAAATAGATTCTTAATTGTTCAAACATAGGTGATCAAAGTTTTACAGAGGATATATGTAGGAAAAAACCCTCATTTTAAAAACGAAGGACCAGAAAAAAATGAAACTAAGTATTTCAAAGTTTCCAGGCAGTGTAGATTTGAAGATGTTTAAACCATGATCCCGGAGTAGGGTGGAGCCATAATAGGGGATCAAAGTTGATCAGTTAAAGTCTACTTTTCAAGAATCATGCACTGAGCTAGGAGAGATAAACTTATCTGAAAGCTTCTTGACAAAATTGTTCAAATCTTGGTCACAGGTGTTAGCATGGGAACACTATAGTAGAACAAAGTTTTACACTGGAATATATGGGAAAAATCTTTTAAAATCTTAATTACAGCAGGGTAATGAAGCAAGCATCCTCAAAGTAGTGTAGATTCAAAATTACATGTACATGTTTTGGGACCTTGTGTGGGGCCATAATAGGGGATGACATTTCATATGGGAATCTAAACTAGGGAAAATCCTTTAATAATTTTCTCAAAAGAATCATAAAAGTGTTAACATTCTCAAGTTGTGTAGATTTATTATTATTTTTTTCTTTTTAAATAAGGGACTCTGTCTTGGGATGGATTATGACTAAATCGGGGATCAAATTTCATGCACATAATGCAAAATTCAGGGTAAAAGAAAATATCCAATTTTAAAAAAAAATCTGATGAAGAACAGAAGGGGTGAGGTTACTCTGGTGAGCCTTAATTGTGGGTCATGGGCCTCTTGTTTCAAAGAGATCTGAGTTTCAATTAAAAAAAATACCCATATTTGAAACAGTCGTGGTGTTTTGCAGTATACTTGCAACCTGAATTTTTTTTCCAAGGGTAGTGGTGGTTGAGGGGGGGGGGGGGTGACTCCAGCTAAAAAAAAATCAGACCAGGAAATTTTTAGAGAAGCACTGAAAAACCTAATTTGTGGGCGGAGCGAGGGGGGGGGCAGATAAGTCATTATGACTTTCCTGATATTATGTGACTATCGTTACCAATTTTAGAGGGGTCTGTGTTTCCTAGGGGGAGGGGATCCATGTGCATTTTTTTTGGTTACGTTTTATAGAAATTTGATAACTCTGCAAATCCCGATCGAGGAGGGGGGGGGGGGGTTTGAAGGCGTGGCCACAATGATTATACCTGAATATACTATAGGAAAGGAAATCATGCTAATTTAAAAAGTACAGTAGAAAACCAGTGCTAACTTATGACATGTATTATGCACACTCAGTAATATTGTCTGATCTTTTTGTTTTTGTTTGTCAAAGATTCAATTTCTGCCCCCCCCCCCCCTCCCGCCCAATAAAACTGCTTCCCGAGAATTTGTTGGATGTAAATCGCATCCAGCTGTACCCTGGGGAAAGATTATGTAAATATTGCATGTAGTTGAGTGTAACATTGAAAATTTTCAATCCCAAGAAAACGTTTCAACCGAGACGCAATGTTACACTTAACTACATGCAATATTTACAATATCATTTTGAATGTTTTACACAAATATATATATAACAGTAAACATTCTGCGCAGTCAATATTTTTTGGAAATCACCCGTCGTCAATTAATGTTTCACATTTGCTATGCTAGAGAGCGTGTCTTCATTATTCGGCGGGTAATAGTGTTTTTAAATGTTTCTCGACGAATCAGATTCATCTAATATTTCCAAATACATGTAGAGATGGACTTATCCAAACATTTGCGACACAAACTAATTGAAATGATTCATGGTCATATTTTCCCTGCCAACGTAAATGTTTGAATTGCCAAAAAAGTAACGTGTTAGGTATACATACGTTACAACTGTTGTGACGTTAAAAAAAATTGCGGTTTTATGTTGTATCCATGACGTAAATGAAATATGGAGATAACGAACAGTATTCAAGCTCAAAGACAAATCGTGAGCAGAGCAAACATGGACCTCCAAAAGCATCAGAGGTGGGATCAGGTGCCATGGAGGAGTGAGCATCCCCTGCCGACGGTCACATCCGCCGTGTGCTCCTTGACGTGATCGGGAAATAACAGAAATCGCACTTGCCTTATATAGAATTCTAAAAAATGAGGGCGTACAAGGCGAGGAAAATTCCCCGCTCTAGCGCATGATCTGAGAAAGTGAATTTTTAATATTGCAAAGAAAAGTTATATTTTCCAACTATCGTGTAGTCCGTTACGTCATCTACAACACATTTGATTCGTTTATTTTATTGAATGAACTATTGATTGATAATTTGGTTAAGTTACTGTTAAGCAAATTTAATGGAAAATGAGTCTACTGTAGCCATGAAAATGATTTTGGAATATGAATGTGGACAAACACATTATATAAACGTTTAAATGACAGGAAATGAATGTAAAATATATCTGCTGTTTAAAAATAAGGAATCTGAACACATCTTATATGAAAATCGATTTTTTCTGAAGAAAAGATATTCCTCAACAAACTCGTATAAGTCAATTTGACACACTACACTGATAGAAAGACTGAGATGTAAAGACCCTTTTCTTTTCTGAATGAACAAAATATTGAAGCACTGTAGTTTTTTTCTTGATTTTCTATTTCATTCCAGACCAATTGATCAAATTCCACATTTACTTCAAATACTTCAGTATTATCACAGTCAATATCTGCTAGATTTCAGTACACTAATAAATATATAAATGCAAGACCCTTGATCCCCACTGCACCTCCATCTTCTGATGACCTAGAACAACATCCAATCTGTTATTAGCTTGTCTGTTTTACATTGGTATAAGCCTTAGTTCAAATAATTCTAAGATACCTGCATTATTGTCAGACCGCAGACAAAGAAATCAGAATACAGAACATTATCTTTTCATCAAGTATTCAATCCGTGCAGTGAGTAAAATGAAGATTTTTCTATACACCTAATTGTTATTCACTTCTTGGCCAATTTCTGCATTTAAAAAATTTACTTGTACAGTGTAATGTACATCTCAGTGAAATACAATGTGTTAGATGATAGATAAATGCTGAAGAACCATACTTAACTTAGTTTGCTTCATGTGAGAGCTGTCAGACAAAAAAAATACTGATATAAAGTTACAAATATCCTCTTTAATAAGAAAGTGACACAAAATGTATAAAACACGAAGTTCCTCTCTCAAAAGATTGTTAAAACACAGAAACTGACAAATTACACAAGAAATGACGATCAGTTGTACTGGTAACAACAACAGAGTCACTGTATGTCATTATAAATTGACTAATTACACAAGAAATGATGGTAAGTTGGCCTGGTAACAACAATGAACTCACTGTGTCATTACAAAGTGTTAACGTAATACATGTACTCCTGTAATCACTCCATCTGAACACATTTTTACAGCTGTGACCTTGGTTTCATGACCCTGACCTCACGACTTTGGTTTGGTTTCCTGGTCACTAACATTTCTGATATAGATCACGTCCTCTGTTGGTTCCACGGGCTCGTCATTCTCATACATGTACGATGACGCGATGGCCAAAACAGAACCATCAGGACTGAAGGCTAATGACGCTATCCCTGTTGGGTACCTACAAAGGAACATTACATGTAACCTCAATGTAAGAGCAAAAAGTTATAGAGATTACATCATGTGTAATTAAATAATGCAGCTGTAATTGAAATCTACAATGAAATTCACCCATTCTATTCTATTCAATACATTTTCTTGGCTAACATCTCAATAATCAAGTACTATTTTCCAGGATAAAATTTTTCTAAAAACATTTCAAAGTACCTATGAAACTGGCACAATCTCTTTTTGTTAAAACCGTCCCAGATATTGACAAATCCATCAGATCCACCAGAAGCAAATGTGTTGTGGTGAGAGTGGAAGGCGATGGCATTAACAGGATAAATCTTCTCCACACCGTTCTCTTTAATTCTGTGACATTTAAATGCATATTTCCTCTTCTGGACTTCTGGACTGGGATCTAAATACTCCACAGCAACTCGCCCTTAAAAAAAATGAAAAAAAAACCCCTTTATTTCAACGTTATAAACACATACCCTGTACACTGTGCCTTGTAACAGCTCTGCTTCTGTACTTTTCCAAAATTAATGCCAAGTCTTTTATAAAACACCTTATTTAAGTTTTGCAGACTTCACAATCACTCTACAACCCCCCCCCCCCCCCCCAAATTTGTTACCATTAACCTTCCTTTATTTCTAAGATACACATGTATATTAACAGCTCTATGAGCAAATTTCTCCTCTCTATCAGTAATATAAATACCGGTAAGTCATGTCTCTGATAAACAATGAGCATATGCATTATCTCTAAGCTCTTTGACTATACATCTTTGGTCATAATATTCTCAATGATTACACTCTAAAACTGAGCAAGACCAACAATGAAAAATAATTTGTTTGATGTACTCCAACTGACCTCTAAAAATATATTTTTTTTGTTTACAGGAAAACACAGATTGTCCATATCTCTTTTGAAGTTTAAGATTTATGACTTCTCAAAGACACTTTTCAGATTGAGAATTTTTTTTACCGCAATAAATATTAAATCTGTCTAGCTGTCCCATGCATACATTGTAATGAAAACATCAATAAATTTCTAAGTCTTTGACATTAATGAGGATTATCAATGTGTTTGACAAAAAGCTACCTACCTACCCAACTTGAAAAATGTGGGTCAGAGTACATCAAACAAATTTTTTTTAATAATGGCCTAAATATCCCTGTTCTCAGTCCAAACTTACCCTCAATAGAACTGAGTACATATCCCTGTTTGTTTGGAAAGCATCGAATACAGCGAGTTTGATATTTGAGACTGGACTCCCGTCGCTGCTGGACATATCCCATGTTTCTTAGATCCCAAACCAGAATCCTTCTTCCGGCAGTACCAACCACAAGTCTATCCCCACAAACAGACATTGTGTATACCTGTCATAGATGCCAATGTAGTGACGGAGATAAGGAATGACTTTCTGATGCATTTCACAAAACAAATATAGATATTCTCCTCATTTAAAAGTGTATCACTATTGTTTACCTCATGTAGAAGTCAACACATTGATGAAGATAAGCAATGATTTTTCAGCATATTTCAAAATTCAAACATCCTTCTTATCAAATAAGTTTATGTAAAGTGTACAGTGGCAAATCCTTGTTAAATATAAAATCCATGGAATATTAAGGTTGCCTTCATCATTTATTCAAAACTTTGTAGAATACCTTGTCAGGTTGACTGAAGGAACCTGCAGCACACGGAGCCCGGGGGTCCCAGAGCTTGACCGTAGAGTCCCAGCTCCCTGTGATGATGACGTTAACCTCTGGGCAGTATTCCACACAGCGGATAGGATCATCGTGCTGACCTACATTCTGTTCTGTAGAGAAATTTATATCTTATCTTTTACTACATTTTAAAAACAATGGTGTGACTCGATTTATATGATGAATCACTGTTGTTACAACTTCTATTTTTTTTACAGAATGAAATTTTCTCAAATATTTTGTAATTGATAACCACCTAGAGTAATGAAGTAAGTTGCTTTATTTTTCTGTGATATGTGATGAGGAATAAAAATCATCTCTTTTTGAGAAACTTTCCATAATTATCAAAGTGTTAAAGATCCTTAGTTAAGAGACTAACACAATTACAATTTATTTCCAATCTTTTTCCAAACTTGACATGCCATTCACTGACATGTACACCTCTTCTAATGCCCTGTGTCATTGGCCTAAATTCAAATATGAGCAAAAACTACCAAATAACGGAGCACACTTTGTGCTTACATAAAGAGCACAGTTGATATGGGAAATTGCTTGCATTTTTTGCAGTCGTGTTTTTGTTTCAGATATTATGTATACTATTACTGAAATTGATTTGAATGCAAGAATAAGATTTGTTAACTTAAAATATGTTTTACAACAGTCCTATTAGATGTGTGTCAAAAGAAAGACAACTCTGGTTGAGCTTGACGGTGGAGTCCCAGCTTCCTTTAATGATGACTTTGACCTCTGGGTAGTACTCAACACTTTTTAGGGGAAGTAAATATCTGCTATTGAAATATTTCCACTAAGAGTTGTGAATTCATCACTTGAACAAAAATTTCAATTTTTTTTTAATTTTTTTTTTTTTTTTGTCCTTTTTGATTGTGAAGTCATGGATACAAACTTACTATGTGATTCAGCATTTGTACTAATAACTAAAGCCTTGTACTTTGAAAGTAAAACATCTGTTGACCGTAAATCTATACATGTACTTGTAAAGAAAAGTCTGAATGAAAATAAGGGCACCGCAAAGCAGAGCATTTCCTCACAAAAGTGCTCATCGATCCTGATATAAATTATCACTTGAGCACCCACTCACCACTACACATGTACACAAGCAGGTTACTAAACCCTTGCCAATTTCCTGTAAGGTAAAAAAAAAAAAGGTAAAAAAATATCTCTTTTGTATATTCTGATAACACACCTGTGCTTGTGTTGAAATCAAACATTTTAAGAGTACAGTCTAATCCTCCACTGTAGGAGTGTACTGCATCCTAGAAAAAATAAAATCAAAACAAACTGAAGCAAGCCATTCATAGTGTTATTAAACAATAAAATATCTATTATCATCAACTGACTCCCATTATACATTTTAACTTGTTCTGTAAGTTTCTAAGCTCCTATCCTTAACTCATTAATGACAAGTTCTTGTTTTAATTAAAATTCTCTAAGTCTAATGTAAATAAAGTAGGGATGTCAACGAATATTCGAACATTCAAATATTCATTCGATAAGTTGATATTCGAATACAAATTCAAGATTCGAATATTCGGTGTTTTACAGATTTCGTAAAAAGAAATAGTGATTAATAAATTGTGATTAAATGAAAACCTTCTTAGAAAGTATAAAAGACGTGAAGAGTATACTTATCAAAATAAATTTAATTGATCATTGAATGAGTGTCTGATAGAATTAGTCTGTAACTAATATTGTAAAGGGCTCAATTTCAGAACAAATGTGTAAATTACTTGATTTTCTCGGGTTGTACATAATCCTGAATTTTATATTCATTATCATTATCGGTAAATTAATTAATTACCTAGGAAAATTGTCTATAAAAAAATATTTGTTTATATTTTAAAAATATTTTATCAAAGATTTTAATCATATCTCTTATTAGACTGATAATTGTAATTAATTACACGTATTGAAATCTAAACAGTATACGACTATCCTGCCTTTGGTAAGATGACTGGTTCCTCAACTGGAGCTACTATAAATTTATTAAATTATTAAATTTGTTAAAATCATTTTTTTCTACATTTAAATCAATTATTTATTTCAAACATTGACAAATATCAAATGGAATTTCTTATTGTACATCTGCAAAAGCCTTCACACAATTTTACTCCAATATTAGAATGCCTACGCTAAACCTTTCATGAGAGTAGGATCATGCATATTTAAAATAAACCAGATTTTATTTATTTTATCGAATATTCGAATATATTCAAATACTTTCATTGAATATTTGAATATGAATTATTGACAAAATTGACATCCCTAAAATAAAGGAATTTAAATCCTGATCTAGGTGATGATTAACTGACTTACATAGAAGCAGCAGTCTAAGACAGGCTCGGCGTGGTTGTACTTGATTCTCATGTTGTTGGCGATGACATCGTAGAGTCTCACTGTACAATCCCAGGAAGATGCCAAGAGAAACTGATTGGTTGTGCCAAACTTAACAGCAGAAATCCCATCATCAGGGGCATTTTTTAACTTAAACTCATTAGGTGTTTCTGCCATTGCTGTAACAGCTGAAAAATGACATCAGATTATAACACAGTGTGCACAGAATTAGACAATAAACTTTTGTTTTTATTCCCAACAAAAGTAAGAATTTAATGGTAAGTTTTCCTTAATGAGATTTTCTTTTAAAATTAGATTTCAACACATTTTTCCCCCTTCAAATCTAGAGAAAATACTTTTTTCTTTATTTTTTCAAGCTTACATACACTTGACATGTTACCAGTAAAATTTCTAACCAAAGCCAAAATGGGACATTAAATTTAGCTTTCATCTTTTGTTCAAATGCTGCAATGCACAGACAAACAAAAACTTTCTAAAATCTTTTCAGTTTTGTTCTTCAAATGAAAAACGATGTCTCAATTTTAACAAAGAAATACTTAAATTTATACCAAAGTCTGCTATTGTCCAGGCATGTATTTTACTCAGAATAAAACCCAGATTGGCCAAATGTACACTTGCATCACTTACTAGAACAGCTGTAGAAAGGATGATAGATATATTTTCAGCTAGCCTGCTATGTTTATATGTTCCTTGCATGAATTTTACAGAATAGCGTAAAATTAAGCATAAAAATACAATTATATACACTTTGCATCTTCTTTATTACAATACAAATTAATATAAATGGTGTGATTTCAAATAAAATTTTACACCACACGTGGAATACACATTTTTGTAAGAATTTGTTTCTCTGTTGGGTCTCTAAAACGTCCAACTTCAATTTACAATTAACGCAAACTGTTAATTTAAAATGCAATATTCGTGCTCCATGAGATAAAAATTATTGTTTAGCCTTACATTTATTGAGAACAGCCTGCAATTTGTGTAGTGAATTAGTCTTTTTTCCAACAGTGGCTGTCAGCTATCATCCGCAACTGTACTCGGCAATGCTGGTACCGGACATCCATGACTGTACCTGCTCACTAATATCAAAAACGGAATGTCAGAGCAAGATTTTCCGGATTATTCAACGTATTAAACTGTATGTAGTTAATTAAGTATGGATTGTTTTTTTAATGAAACATACGAAATGTGTTACTAATTAATCTACTTTATGGAAGGCTGTAATCGCCAAAACGGTAACGATAACTAGCTTAGTGAATATATCGCGGAAAATATATTTGTAAGCTTGACTATGCCTAAATCCATTGCATAGATCGCTATTATCTCTAAAAAGTAACATTTACTACAGCGTACATTTTGTATATCTATGACTGTATACCTGTGCCTGATATACAACATCTGCGACTGTACCTGTGCCATACATACACACTACCACTGACTCAACCCGCGCTTGATTAACTTAACCCGCGCTTGATTAATAACATCCACAACAAAAAATTCTGTGGATTTTCTCCGATTTAGATTTAGACTGAATTCGATCAAAGCGCAATTAACGCTAATCTTTATATTACCCATGACAGTGATACCGAGACAAACGATGTCAGCAGTGATTAGGGAAGGATCCAAAACTTTTACAGATTTAAATTTAAAGCTTTATGTTCAGAGTACAATATGAACCAGGTCTTTATTTTTTTTTGGGGTGGGGGGGGGGTGGGGTGGGGGGGCTAGGGGCATGATTTCAATATCCTACATGCTCAATAACAATGATGAATTTAAAATGAAACATCCTAGTATAATTGTAGAAAATATACGAGTAAACAATAAACAAAGTAAAATAAAAAAGGAAATTAAAATAAATATTGGAATTAATTTGTAATCCTTAATTTTATGTTAGAAAGTATAAGTACGTCACAATATTATTAATTTCACCCATTTCATTGATCACGCAAGAGGTGTCAATGAAAAGCACAGGTTTTTTCCCATAATTATATGTCTTACGATATATACGGGTGGAATGGGCTGATCCACCCGTTTTCAATGTGTTATATATAAACATCTCAAGTGCACCCCCAGGAAGTAGCCTCCTATACCCTGAAAAAGAATAGTTCCTGACCAAAAAAAATTATTTATTTACAAAGTACATAAAATTTACTAGGCACAGGTAACAAAGTTGTAAAAATAGGCTGTAAGACCCCCCCCCCCCCCCCAAAAAAAAAAAAAAAAAATTCTCAAAAGAAATAAAAATTAATTTCATATGCATGAAACAATTAACATCTTGACTGGTCGATAACCGTGGTGTGATACCTGGAATATGTAGGGTATGGTATTAAAATAATTGCTCATATTAAAGGAAATTAATCCTATAATTATCGACAACATCCAAAGAAAATATTTGTATAAGTAAATATTTTTATTAGATCCACCTCTCTAAGATTCTGCTGTACTGTACAGACAACTCTAGAAATATTACACCATGACTGTACCGGTGTCTGATTGACAACATCCACGACTGTACCTGTCCAGTACACACACTTTATTCTACATCCATGACTGTACCAGTGCTTATAAACAACATCCATGACTGTACCCTTGCCTTATAAACAACATCCCTGACTGTACCTGTGCCTTATAAACAACATCCCTGACTGTACCTGTGCCTTATAAACAACATCCACGACTGTACCTGTGCAGTATAAACAACATCCATGACTGTACCTGTCCAGTACACACACTTTATTTTACATCCATGACTGTACCTGTGCCTTATAAACAACATCCCTGAATGTATCTGTGCCTTATAAACAACATCCACGACTGTACCTGTACCTAATAAACAACATCCATGACTGTACCTGTGCCTTATAAACAACGTCCATGACTGTACCTGTCCAGTACACACACTTTATTCTACATCCCTGACTGTACCTGTGTCTTATAAACAACAACCACGACTGTACCTGTCCAGTACACACACTTTATTCTACATCCCTGACTGTACCTGTGCTTATAAACAACATCCACGACTGTACCTGTCCAGTACACACACTTTATTCTACATCCATGACTGTACCTGTGTCTTATGAACAACATCCACGACTGTACCTGTCCAGTACACACACTTTATTCTACATCCCTGACTGTACCTGTGTCTTATAAACAACATCCACGACTGTACCTGTCCAGTACACACACTTTATTCTACATCCCTGACTGTATCTGTGCATTATAAACAACATCCACGACTGTACCTGTCCAGTACACACACTTTATTCTACATCCCTGACTGTACCTGTGTCTTATAAACAACATCCACGACTGTACCTGTCCAGTACACACACTTTATTCTACATCCATGACTGTACCTGTGTCTTATAAACAACATCCACGACTGTACCTGTCCAGTACACACACTTTATTCTACATCCATGACTGTACCTGTGTCTTATAAACAACATCCACGACTGTACCTGTCCAGTACACACACTTTATTCTACATCCATGACTGTACCTGTGTCTTATAAACAACATCCCTGACTGTACCTGTCCAGTACACACACTTTATTCTACATCCCTGACTGTACCTGTGTCTTATAAACAACATCCACGACTGTACCTGTCCAGTACACACATCTTACTATACATCCATGACTGTACCTGTGCCTTATAAACAACATCCACGACTGTACCTGTGCATATATACATACTTTATTCTACATCCCTGACTGTACCTGTGCCTTATAAACAACATCCACGACTGTACCTGTCCAGTGCACACACAGTCGTGGATGTTGTTTATAAGACACAGGTACAGTCATGGATGTAGAATAAAGTGTGTGTACTGGACAGGTACAGTCGTGGATGTTGTTTATAAGCACAGGTACAGTCATGGATGTAGAATAAAGTGTGTGTACTGGACAGGTACAGTCGTGGATGTTGTTTATAAGACACAGGTACAGTCAGGGATGTAGAATAAAGTGTGTGTACTGGACAGGTACAGTCGTGGATGTTGTTTATAAGGCACAGGTACAGTCAGGGATGTAGAATAAAGTATGTATATATGCACAGGTACAGTTGTGGATGTTGTTGATAAGGCACAGGTACAGTCAGGGATGTAGAATAAAATGTGTGTACTGCACAGGTACAGTCGTGGATGTTGTTTATAAGCACAGGCACAGTCATGGATGTAGAATAAAGTATGTGTACTGGACAGGTACAGTCGTGGATGTTGTCAATCAGACACCGGTACAGTTATGGTGTAAAATTTCTAGAGTTGTCAGGACAGGTACAGTTGTGGATGTTGCATCCCAAGAAATTCCTTACGATTTTCTTTGAGCTGAACACAATAAAGGTGCTATTAACGCTATTCACCGATATTCCCTATAGATTGATTCCAGACAATTGATTGCAGAATCTTAGAGAGGCGGATCTAATAAGAATATTTACTTATACGAATATTTTCTTCGGATGTTATCGATAATTATAGCATTAATTTCCTTTAATATGAGCAATTATTTTAATACCATACCCTGCATATTTCAGGTATCACGCCACGGTTATCGACCAGTCAAGATGTTAATTGTTCCATGCATATAAAATTAATTTTTATTTCTTTTGAGATTTTTTTTTTGGAGGGGGGGGGGGGTCTTCCAGTCTATTTTTACAACTTTGATACATGTGCCTAGTAAATTTTATGTACTTTGTAAATAAATAATTTTTTTTGGTCAGGAACTATTCTTTTTCAGGGCATAGGAGGCTACTTCCTGGGGTGCACTTGAGATGTTTTTATATAACACATTGAAAACGGGTGGATCAGCCCATTCCACCCGTATATATCGTAAGACATACAAATGTATATTTATGGGGGGAAAAAACCTGTGCTTTTCATTGACACCACTTGCGTGATCAATGAAATGGGTGAAATTAATAATATTGTGACGTACTTACAATGTATACTTTCTAACATAAAATTAAGGATTACAAATTAATTCCAATATGTATTTTAATTTCCTTTTTTATTTTACTTTGTTTATTGTTTACTCGTATATTTTCTATAATTATACTAGGATGTTTCATTTTAAATTCATCATTATTATTGAGCACGTAGGATATTGAAATCATGCCCCCAGCCCCCCCCCCCCCCCCCCCCCCCGAAAAAAAAAATAAAGACCTGGCTCATATTGTACTCTGAACATAAAGCTTTAAATTCAAATCTGTAAAAGTTTTGGATCCTTCCCTAATCACTGCTGACATCGTTTGTCTCGGTATCACTGTCATGGGTAATATAAAGATTAGCGTTAATTGCGCTTTGATTGAATTCAGTCTAAATTAAAATCGGAGAAAATCCACAGAGTTTTTTGTCGTGGATGTTATTAATCAAGCGCGGTTTGAGTCAGTGGTAGTGTGTATGTACGACACAGGTACAGTCGCAGATGGTGTATATCAGGCACAGGTATACAGTCATAGATATACAAAATTTAGGCATAGTCAAGTTTACATATATTCACTAAGCCAGTTATCGTTATTGTTTTGGCGATTACAGCCTTCCATAAAGTAGATTTATTTAAAATCAGAAATTTTCTTTCCTCCATATTAACACATTTCGTATTTTTCATTAAAAAACAATCCATACTTAATTAAAAACATATAGTTTAATATGTTGAACAATCCGGAAAATCTTGCTCTGACATTCCGTTTTTGATATTAGTGAGCAGGTACAGTCATGGATGTCCGGTACCAGCACTGCCGAGTACAGTTGCGGATGTTAGCTGACAGACCCCACTCCTTTTTTCTCTACGCCGCCAAAAGCTAAAATAGGAAATTCACAAAGTGAACGAAAAAGGGAATGCGAACGGACACTTATCAAAAACCCGGAAAGATACCTTCAACATAGGATAAATCTGTCTACAGTTTCTAAGTTTATTAAAAAACACATTATCACGGCAGATTAATCGTTTCGTCATTATGAACCAGGAGGCCAAGACTTAAACTACTCCTACCAGTTAACAGTGTAACGAGTATTTGATTTAAGAATTAATTAAGGGGGAAGAGGGGGGAGGGGTATTTGTGTGCACTGCTACAAGTATATCGGCCATTATCAGTCTAGACGAACTCCAAAAACAGCGTTTCCGGAAGTAAGAAATTGAGACTGAAAAAGACTCCGAAAAAAGAGTCCGCGCATGCGCACACACACACTAAATGGCGATTTTTCGGCAAAAATGATGGGTCTACAAAAACTGTCCGTGCAAAGTTTTGGAAAGTATGGCAATTACACCAGTACTCAGAAATGCTAAATAAAAGACTTCGGAAGAGATCGTATTTGTCAGATTTTTGATTTTATTTGCAAAAAAGGAGATATTTACTTTCAAAGTTAACGTTTCAAGTCAGATCAATCATAGAGAAAATGATACGTTTTGATTATGCAGCGATTCACAAGGAAAATAAACGTAGTCAAAATATAATTAACTGTATATAACAAACATAAACAAAGTTGACCGCTATTGATATTAATGGGGTACAATACGTGCATGCTGCGAATTTCTCAACATAAACACAAATTATAAACACACAAAAATTATGAAAACATCCATTTGGTACCACACATATAAATAAAACAATATTATGTTATTTGTGTCCCTGTTTAGTACTGATTCTCATTTTGACAAAGTTTGATTTTTCCCCCAACCTGTTTGAAGATTTTTCCCCCTCTTAGCGCCTCCATTCAGGGATAGCCAAATCATAGGATGACCCAGTTTTCAGCTTCGGCAGATAACGATGGACGGTGGTGAAGACCGATTGTTTCTGGGACTTGATTTTAGCACTCAACAAGTAGGTTTAATGCATTTTATTTAACAGCTGCATTTAAGCCGCGTGTCACTCGATAAAGTTACTTTTGCAAACAAAATAAGAAAGTTAAAGGTGAAAAAATCTTGATCCCGATCTAAATATTGAGAGAAGTGTTAGGCGGATCTAAAAGGAAATACATGTACTATGCGTATATTACCATGATTACTTTATGCAAATTCAGAGACAACACCTGAAGCAAGAAGCACCTAATTGGTGGTAAATGCAGGAGGGGGTCGCCCCTCCCATTTATTGGGTGGGAGAAAACATCTCTTGGCCTTTTCTGTTCAATCAAGAAAAAAAGTTTTTCTTGACTTTATAGCTAACTTTTTTATTAATAAACATTGGAATGTCATACTTGACACAAAGATTACTTTTGACCTGGTGACCTTGACCCAATTTCATTTGTGCAAGTTTAAGGTCACCAGCTGAATAAGTGTGTGATTGTCCTAGTGTACGTGGAGTAGCATGTGTATGATTTTTCAAAAGAAATAAAATACATTTTAGGATAATAAGAATGATGCAATCCCCTTCCCCTATTTTTTAAAGTACATTTACCCATGTTTTACCCATAAAAATACTTTATTTTTAAAGAATTTGGAGATTCTAGAGACACTCACTACATTATCTCGTCGACCCATTAAAAGTAAATCTGACAATTTTTTTTTCATGTTGAAATAGTTGATATATATAATTATATTTACTAAAAGAAACTCACTGGTCCAAAATTTTGAAAACCTAGAAATTAAACCAAACCACAACCCTCCTCTTGATAATTAATTAAAAAATGAAACAATCAGGTATATTTTTCCTCTACTTAAATTACAGTCGTAGGAACAAGCTTCTAAGGATCGGTCCCAGCAGGACCCCTCCCCCTCTCCCACAACTGTAACCCTTGATAGGAGGGTGGGTGTTTTGGGGAATGGGTGAGGTCTTGCCAAACCCCCTTCAGTTTCAACTCAGGACTCCCCACCCCCACTCCTCCAATCAGGAGGATGATTGATATTTCTCTCTTTTTCTCAGTTATATACAAAATCCATGCCATGGTATTGGTTTTTTTTACAATATAGATCAAGGCTGAAGCAATTAATGACTCTCTGCAAATTGTGAATGAAACGGCAGTAAAGTTTGACTCGGATCTTCCAGAATTCAAGTAAAAATGAGAATATTTATATTAAATTACTTTTATAATATTGAATCAAAATTGCTCATCCCTGGCATTTTCTGTAACAGTGTTTTACTGTTTTTTATGTTTTGTAATTGGATATAGGTATGTACAATCAAACCTTGTTAACTGGAACTCAATGGGACCTTTTAAAAACTTAAAAATATTTTTAAAAAATGGAGATAATGAGGTTGAAATACTTAAAGAAAAAGTGATTGAGAACTCCTACGCATTTTCAACGTATCAATGGTACAATGTACAATAAAACACACTGATAACGAAGTGCCAGGGATGAATTTGCTTCATTATAAGTGTAATTTGTTATATTTAAGTTTACGATATATTTTAAAGTCAGGGGAATGAAAATCACTTCGCTATAAGCATGAATTCATTATAAGTGTGTTTACTATTAGCATGTTTTACTGTATTGGATATACCAAGGAATATTCAAGATACTGAAGTTCAAATTTCTATAATTAGTCAAATTTCAATATGAATTCACTGCCTTCTGTGTACTTAAATTCTAGCATGAAAGAATTAACAGCATATGTATGGAATTGTTTTAGAACTCATGGAGGGGTGCACATCCACAATGATAATGTCACAGTTACTGCCCCTACTATTATGTGGGTCAAGGTAAGGTTACCTGTCATTAAAAGGACCACCATGTACAGGTAGCACATTTTCCTGAAATGAATTTTAGGAACACTAAATTGTTAGAATATTTTTCTTCAAAGACTGTTTTTAAAATAAGAGTACTTCTGATGTTCTTAAAAATAGGACATATAAATGAAAAATATCTCATTTATGTATACAAGTACATTTTTAACAGCCAAATGTAAGAACAAGTAATTCAATGATCAAGACATAATTAATTATTTTGATAGGAAATCTCATGAGGCGAAAGGGAAAAAGTGCATATTTTCTACAACTACATGTATTTTATTTTTAATGCTATATTTTTGTGTACTTGATACAGTTAATACATTATAAATAAATTGCACAGAAATTTTTATCACACACACACACCCATGCACTTTCACTCTTCACTCATACTTACATAAACAATATCTACTATTTAGCCATATTTACAAGCTATGTAAAAAAAAACCATATTGTATGCAGACAAAGGTCTACAACAACATATAAGTCTTACAACACAAATGATAAATTTTTTGTACTGTATGCATTTTTTTGACAGGCATTTGACTTGTTGTTAGAGAAAATGAAGAAGGATGGCTTCCCCTTTCACAAAGTGGCTTGTATTTCAGGAGCAGGGCAGGTGTGACAACTTCTACATGTATATCTGTAGCCAAAAATTATTACCTTTTTATGTATTGTTTTGGATATGAATTTCTCCTCGATTTTAGAAATTGAAACAAATTTGACAATCAGTGCTTATAGGGGAGTTTCTTTACTGAAGTAGGGGAGATAAATAAGAAGAAAAGTTAAGTATATAAGTGATTATTTATAAAAGCATTCTTTCTTTGGTGGTCTGATTATATATAAATTCTGTAGAACCTTTTTCTCTGCAGCAACATGGTAGTGTATACTGGAAAACTGGAACAAATAAAATCTTAAGAAGTCTTGATGAGAAAAAACAACTCCACAAACAACTACAGGTAAAATAATTATACAAGAAGAACAGAAAAAATCAAGTAAAATCACTCAGGCAATTAAAATTTATAGATTTACATTTCCAATAAATTTCCCCTATGATTCTTTGCAAAATAGAAAACAGTTCATTTTCTCATGAACTACCATTATGAGCATGAATATCTCAATTGTTGCATCATAATACAATACTTTACATCAAAACTACATGTATAGTGCAAACTGTTTTGCTTTAAAAATGACAGTTGAATGGGCATAATTTGTGGTCAAAAAATAATGTAAATATAAGAAATGAATTTAATTTTTGAAAATTCATGAGGTACATGAACTATTACGCTTCACTCCAGCATATTTATCATGAAGCGCTAACGTGCTTCATGAAATAGCTTCATGAACATCGTAGTTCATGTCCTCATGAATCTTCAAAATTAAATTCTTTTCTTAAAAATACCTGAAACAAAACAACTAGAATTTAAATAATACATTTAGACAAGTACAGATAAATAATTAATACATATAGACAAATACAGATAAATAATTAATACATTTAGACAAGTACAGATAAATAATTAATACATTTAGACAAGTACAGATAAATAATTAATACATTAAGACAAATACAGATAAATAATTAATACATTTAGACAAGTACAGATAAATAATTAATACATTTAGACAAGTACAAATAAATAATTAATACATTTAGACAAGTACAGATAAATAATTAATACATTTAGACAAGTACAAATAAATAATTAATACATTTAGACAAGTACAGATAAATAATTAATGCAAGCTGAGCAGATTAATACAAGCATACATGTAAACCTACTGTGTAAGGGCGAAACGATTACGTGTAAACGGCGATGTTTCGATTAAACGCTCTAAACGTTTACAGATTGAGTAAACGTTTACATGAAGGTCATTATCAATGTCTATCAGAAGTAAAGATAAATACAAACAAGTTGTTTAATTTCATATTTACCAAAGAAAACAATTGTTTTCTGTTGTAATCGATACCGGAAAATGTTATTGAACAAAACTATCTAAAACCCGATACCGTCTATGATACATATATATATATATATATATATATATATATATATATATATATATATATATATATATATATATATATATATATATATATATATATAATTCCGATTTTGGAGTAGCGAATACTAATGATGTATTTGATTTGATTTTTCCAAGCATGAAACTTGATTTACTTTGATTAAATTAATATAATACATTTTCACCAGTCTTTGCAGAGTGTTTCAATACAGTCAGCAGATCGCAGTATACTTAATTCAGGATTAAAAGATCCATTTTTGCAAGTTTAATTTGACAATGCTTATTCTTTGCCGGGTATGTAGCCAAACAAAATAGTAATGCAGTCTTGGGTGACGGCGTAGAAAACGAATGAGTTCTATGCGCGTCATATTCTTTCGTCATAAAAACCAACAAATAAATAGTTATAACAACTCATGCTTACATTATAGTAAAAGAATAGAGTATTAAATTAGTGTTTCATGAGTAGGTAACCATAAAAATTCAACACAAAATATTCTCCCGTTTAAACGATAACGTTTCGTTTACTGCTGATTGTTTAAACGTTTACAAAATTCAGTAAACGTTTCACCCTTACTACTGTGATGGAGAGTCAAATCTCAAAAGCGGTAGCATTGTGTGCAGTGTACTACGCTTTGATTTTGAAATGTAATTCTGGCCTCTAATGACAACTGCAATAGTCACATTAATATCATCTGCAATGAAGTAGGCAAAAACACCATTTACATAAATTATGCAAAGAAATTTTTTTCATGTTCATCACAATAACTTTTAGTGGCTGACTATCCTTTTTAAGAGTGATCTTTGTTAAAATAGCCTGGAAGCAATAATTTTCAATGTTCATTTAGTTGCCAATTAGAGCAAAGAATGTCATTAGACAGTTCAGATTTAAAATAGTTTGTAAATTCTTTAAAGAAGATTTGTATTTCCCTCAATAGTCGTTTTTTTCTTGGGAGGATGTAAATGAAATATTTTACATGGTGCTCTTACCTACATGTATTTCTTAAAATTATTGTAATTTCCTCCTCAATATTGAAATTACAGTGAATGACAGATTGATTGAAATACAGTAATGCCATTGCCGATGTGAAGCCCACTTGAGTTTTACTATTCTGAATTAAGACCCCCCCCTTCCTCTCCCCTCTACCCCCCACCAGTGCAGCACAGTCATATTAATAATCAATTCAGGAAAATTAATCAAGGGTTCAGATATCTACTTCTGTGTTTTATAATGGCTGCAGTGCTAGCTCACCTATCTTTTTAAAGGATGAGCTTGTAATGCTAATGTAATGTAACTTATGTAATCACAGAGATGTGTTCGGCTGTCGTTGTCAAATGCATGCTCTATATCTATGTAAACATCGGTACAAAATGACAGAGACTCCCATAAATTCCATGGCCACTTGCTCAGAGGTCAGAAGATCAAGATTATTGATATAAGCATACTGCAGTGTCATACATGTATATTATGTTCAAAGTGTATTTTTGTAATGGTACAACATGTAGTGCATAAAATGGCTTTTTATCATTCTAACAGAACTGTTTTTCAATCCCTGATTCTCCGGTCTGGATGGACGCAAGCACAACAGTGAACTGCCGTGAACTGGAAGAGAAAGTAGGCGGCCCCTTGGTATGTTACCTTTATCTTCTGAGTAATGAAAATATTTTGATGAATGATGTTCTATTAAAGATCTGAATTATATTGGTAGAAATAATGTTGATTTTGTAGAAACTGGCAGAGATAACTGGTTCTCGGTCCTTTGAGAGGTATACAGGGACCCAGATCATGAAGATTTCTCGGACAAGGCCATCAGAGTACAAGGACACTGAGGTACAGATTTACTTATCATGCTGTCAAAATCATTGTTTTGCTGCTTACTTCTTTTCTGTTAAACTTTATCTGCATTAATGTTACAGAGAATTTCATTGGTCAGCAGTTTTGCAGCATCCCTTTTCATTGGAGATTATGCTCCAATAGATTTGAGTGATGGGTCAGGAATGAACCTTCTGGACATTAGAACTAAAAAGTGGTCACCAGAATGTCTTCAGGTAAGTATTTTTCTGTTCATAATGTCCCTTCTCCTTTTAAAGTAACTGATGCTGCACTGATCGAGATTTAATTATTTAATTTTTCTATGTACATAATTGCTAAGAAAAATTAAATAATTCAAAAAAATTGCTTTGCAGTTATATGCTATAATGGAGGTCAACCTGCTGAATTTTCCTCTTTGATTAACTAATTAAAAATTAAATATGTGTGGTCGGTATACCTGGTATCTGGGACAAAATCTTTACAATAATTGATATAAAGTTATGAATTACTGTAGAACAAAATTTTTGAAACCCCTTATTTTCATGGGAAAATTATTTGAAATTTGTATTTATAAGCAGGACAATAATTTCACAAATATTCACAATTGCTGTGCATAATTTTTTATAGCACATTATAATGTACGCGAGAATGAAATTTTCACAAGGAGATGGTCTCGAGTAATTACACGAAAATAAAGTTCTCATGAATGAAAAGCGATTTATGGTACAGTATATACACTCGTCAGAAAACCAGTGTTTAATTTCTACACCTCAATGGCCAATGAAATCTGAGCATTTTGACTGCCAATTATAGCAGCCAATGGGAAATAACTCTTGCTTGAAAACTATCTACATGTTTTTTGTTGTTGATTTTTGAAAATATTTTTTGTTGCTAGACTCCCCGCCCCCCGTTTTTTTGGACAAGCTACAATTAAAAAACCCTTACAAATTGATACAAGTACTGCATGTATAAAGAATTTCATTCACAGAAAAAAATGAACTGTGTAAGGTTAATTGCCATAGAAAAAGATTAACAGATTTTGTTGACTTATATAATTAATATTAATTTTTAAAGGCTTGTGGATCAGATTTGAGCCAGAAGCTTGGTGATCCAGTGCCCTCCAAACAAGTTATTGTAAGTAGTACAGTTCATGGAAACCTTACACAGGCTCCCTCAGATGTTTACTCTTATTCTGCATTTCTAAGTTTTGAACATTACTATAAATTCCTTTACCCCACCTCTGTTGATTTTTCTATGAAATCCTGGCTTACAATTGGTTGAAGTCTGTCACGTGAAGGGGGTGTATTACTTATACCTAGTCGCTTGAGAATCAATACATGGTCGATACGGAGTTATCGTTCTTTTGTAACGTTCGAACAACTCGAATTCACGCGATTTGCCGAGTGTCTGTTGACAATGTTACAGTTAACTAATGTAAGTAACGAAAATGGAACCTTTTTCTCCTTTGACTTCAAGTCTTCAAAACTGTCAGTACGTTATTACAGCACGAAACACTCGCAAAACAACATTACGTCACACAACGTGACGTCATAATAGGCATTGTATGAGTGATGAAACATATATATAGTGAGAAAAACAATTTTACAAACCACAGACAATGCATAAATATTTTATCGGTGGGGTAAATTCGTTACATAGTTTTTTAGTGACAGGGTACGGGATGATACCTGGTTAGTAAATTCCATACCTGGCTCGGCTTCGCCTCGCCAGGTATGAAATTTACTAACCAGGCATCATCCCGTACCCTGTCACTAAAAAACTATGTAACTAATAATACCACTCACATTGCTGTTCATGTGTTTTTGATAGGGAAATGTGAGCCAGTATCTCATCAGTCGATATAACTTTAGTCCAAATTGCAAGGTTGTTGCTTTTACGGGAGATAACCCAGGTAATTTTTATTTTACTTTGAGAATATGAAAATTAACAACTTAGAAATTATTGCCTTTGATGAATTTTTGCAAACCAAAAGTATAATTTATTACATGAAAATGTTCAATTATATTTGTTATCATGCAACATGGAAAATACAGTATTGCTTTAAAATAAGTTTATGAACTCAGTTCAGGACAATTTTCATTGATTCAAGACTAGAAATAATCTTTCCTTTTCCCCTAAAATCAGAACTAAAACAAACAATGTCCTTATTAAAAGAAAAAATAATAATAATTTTTTTTTTTATTGAAATGCAGATATAATTCTTTAATCTACAAACTGCTATATTATATTTTCTGTAGCATCCCTGGCAGGGATGGCACCTAAACTGGGCGATGTTGTTGTAAGTACTAAACTGATATTAAATGGACTAGTATTCAATGAAAACAGCATCACGTCATTTATTTTGCATTTACCTCCTCTTTGATTACAAAGATTGATTTGTGTCTAATTATACCCCATGCAACAAGAATATAGAGATGAACAGTTTGTCAGTGCAACTCCTCTTAAACCGCTGCACAGAATTTGGTCAAACTTTGCAGATATTTAGTACACAGTGTGTAGATGTGCATTTTACTAGGAAATTCTGATTCCATTATTTTTGCCCTAAGAGTTTTGCCTATTATTGAAGAAACTTTCCAGCTAGGTAATAAGGAAATCCACTGGAATCAGCTTTTGTAATGAAATTTTATGTGAAATATTTTATGACCTTAAAAGACCCCTATAATAATTGATTTTGAGATCAAAATATTAATGATTTAACACACACACATATATGCAAGAAGTTTTGATGTGATGATTTTTTGCAAATTAATGCTTCTTTTTGAATTATACTGTGTATTTAAAATGCACTGTGCCATTCATTACATGTTGCATTGTCGAGTTTTGGGGGAGCGTGGGGTATGTGAGCTTGCTCACTTTTTCTTTCATTTCAAAGGAGATGGCACTGACATGCATTTTCTATTTCCAAATAAAGATCCCTTAGCTTTTTTTAATCTATATTTTTACTAATTTTTTGGCTCCTTTAACAAATGGTGCATATTAAATGTACATTTATTATAGTAGTCTCTCTATAATCACATTTGTTGTTCTATAGATCAGTCTAGGATCAAGTGATACCGTATTTTCCTGGTCTCCCAGTCACACCGCAGAACTGGAGGGGCACATCTTTGTTAACCCCATCGACTCCAATACCTATATGTCTCTAGTCTGGTAAAGTTGTTTTTCATAAGCAAATTATTTTGATTGATTTCATTTTGAGGGGTTGTTGTTTGGCAGTTACAATATTTATGGTAGTGGGAAAAAAATTGTTGAGACAAATTAAGAAGTCAGTAGTTAGAAAATCAAGTGAATAAGAGGTTTCACAAAAATGAAATCTTTTTGTTTGCAGTTTAGATTTCAAGCAAGTCTTTTACTTTTTTTTTTTTTTTTTTATATAAAATTAGATTTTTTTAAAACCTTTAAGCAGTTACAAAATTTTCTGAATTTTATAATGCAAACTTTATGTATTACATTCTTTCCTAGCTTTAAGAATGGTTCACTCACAAGGGAGAGAATTAAAGACGAAAGTGCAGATGGCTCTTGGGACAAATTTTCAGAATACTTGAAAAAGACACCAATTGGAAATAATGGAAATATTGGTAAAAATAAAATATGACTTCAATGAGCATTAAAAATATTTCCTTTGGGTGTTAATTTTGACATCAGAAGAGTTTTGACAATAATTGATAAAAGTCTTGTTTATGGAAAATTGTACAGTAATTATCCATGCAGTTAAGCCATTAAATCAACATTGGAATGTGTACATTAATTATCACAAGCCATAGGTTTTATGTATCCTTTCTCATTTCCAAAAATGAAATTCACACAAAAAGTTGTGACCTGCGACGATGTAAAGAACTATGAAGTGGCACATATCAGTATTGTTTTAAGGGTGGGGTGGGGGGGGGGGGGGGGGGGGGTGGGGGGGGGATTGATGTATCGTGATAAAACTATAGATCTATCACATGAAACCATCATACTTTATGCAGGAATATATTTTGATGTGATGGAGATTCAGCCATTGGTACAAGGAATTTTCCGGTTCAACAAATCTGATGAAAAGGTACATACATGTATAAATGAATTTAAAAACAAACAGAATATATAAATTTTTAGCAATTACATGTAAGCATATTTCCTTTTTCTTCTTAACACCTATAACTTTATTTTTCACCTGCAAAATTATTTTCAAAAAGTTATGTATCTGGTAGAGTTTTTCTTTTTTTAAAGAATTAAGAGTCTTTTTAACTGGACATAGGATCTACCTTGGTCAAGGGTGTATGAGATAATATAATGTCTTAAATACTTAATGATTTGTGGTTTGAAGATACATGTTTCTGGGTGTAAGGTTTTAAATTTTTTTCCTCACATGATTACATGTACTATTGTACTTCACAGCTGACAAATATTTATCTTAATTCCATTATGGCTATGGAAGAAACAATGTGAAAAAAAAATGTCCATAGAGTTACATGTACATACATGTATAATTGGCTTACATTTGTTGGTATCTATGTTTGTAGGTGACTTCCTTCCCACCAGAAGTAGAAGTGCGAGCGGTGATAGAAGGTCAGATGATCGCTCGTAAAATGTATATGGAGATGGAAATGAGAGGAATGCACACAGGTATTGTATATATTTACAGGACATTATGTATGGTACTTGTTATCTAAAGACATTAGCATATTTTTAATTAAGTTACTACACACTTGTTTATGAAAACAACTTTCACAGATTTTTCAACAATTAATCTTGATTTCATTGATCATAGTATTTATTTTATTTTCGCTTTATTATGTGAAATGGCCTGCTTGAAAAATATTTCTCGTGTATATTTTCATGAGACTAAGTATAGATTATATACAAGTCAACAATAACTAAAATTCATGAAAATTTTGTCTCTATTACAAATACACTGTACCAAATACCTCTCCCGCAAAAAAAAAAAGGTGTCACAAAAATTTGGGGATCTTACAGTATTGTATATAAGGTTTTCTTAAAAAATCTTTAACATTAAATATCTACCTACAGCGTTGACTTGCAGATGTCACTGAGTTAAGTTGTATTTAGAATCAGGTCAAATCTTTTTTGAACTTTCTAAAATAATGTATACACCAGCATTACTGTAACAAAGTATGTATTTCATTATCATAAATTCATTTGACAGGTCTAGACACCCGAATTCTGGCTACTGGTGGAGCCTCTCTGAACAAGGCCATTCTACAGGTAAAGTATGAGTACCATAAACATCCTGCTAAAGGGTTGAAAGTTTAACATTTTCAGGATATTAGAAAATTGGCGAGTGGAAACTTTGACAATCTACTAGTATTTAACAGTGCTCTTTAACAGGAATGTGAAAGTTGACGAGTGGAAACTTTGACGATTATTAGAAATTCGTCAATTTTGTCAATATTTCCATATCGTCAAAGTTTCCACTTTTACACTTTATCATTAAGGAAGGTATAGCAGATTAAGTTCCCTGAGATCAGATCTATTTTCAGAGGCAAAACAATAGGAAATGCGTTTTATAAAAATAGGCTGTAGTGCACAAACAGATGAATAAGTAACTGTACATGTATATCATTAAGGAGGGTAGCAAGATTCAGGTTTTCCTGAGATTATAAATCAGATATATATTTCCAGATGTGACACCATGCGAAATAGGTCTGATATGAATATAAAGCTGTAGTGCACAAAGAGATTGAGATATTACCAATTTTTATTTGTTGCATTCTTAGGAGTTCCGTATTTAGGTTTATACATGTATATCAGATGTGCAAGTTTCGAGCACTTGTCTTTGTTGGTCACACTAAGTCTTATACATTGCAGGTTATATACCACTGTAGATTATATCATTGTAGATTGCATGTAATATATCATTATAGGTTATATCAGATGTGTTTGGAGCACCAGTCTTTGTGAGTGATATCCCGAACTCTGCTGGCCTTGGTTCCTGTTACAGAGCTAAACATGGTGTGTATAGTTTATCATGTTCCACCTCTCCACCATCATTTTCATTTAAGGCCCAATATTTCAGGCCCAGTATATCATGAAACAAAAAAATCCATTTCCAACAATATCTGAAATTGTTTTGATTTGTTTGATAGCATAGATTCAGGCAAATTTACCAATTACTGTAAAAAAAAAGGAAACCAGGAATAAGAACATGTTTCAGTTTGATAATCTTCACACTATTGTATTGATTTAAGAGGATTTTTTGTATAGGACTTGAGGGTTGTGATTTCTCAGAGGTTGTTAAGAACCACCCCCAGCCTGAGTGTGTGGCAGTTCCAACGGAGGGAGCGCATGAGGTCAGTACTTACTGATACTGTAGTATTACATTTCATCTGAACACATGCACTTGGTTATTCTGATAAAGGACAAGATAGGCTAAGACCCCTTTTTGGCCCCTGGTTTGGTGTGTTTTTTAGAATGATGCAACATTTTATCAATAAAAACCTGTTGTCACCTCTGCCACAAAATGAGTATTGGTTCTACATTATATGATACACAGAGGTTACAGGAAGGTCAGAAAATATGTCAATTTCCAAATTTTCTTTATGCAAATTTTCTTTGAATTAACAGCACATTTTGTTTTAGAAAACATGGAGCACAAGTTTGCCTATCTACCACATTTACATATTTCACACACTAGTATAAGATGCATCTTATGTAAAAAAAAATCTCAGATAGGCAAGCTTGTGCTCTATGTTTCCCGAAGTGAAAAGTATCTCAAATTTGACAAATTTTCACCAGAATTGAGGGAACTCAGGAAAATGGCCTACTTCTGCACCCTCTTGTGGCCTCCATGTAAGCTTTGAATCAAAATAAGTGCTGATTTTAAAGCAAGCATCGTTTTAAGTTCTTAACTACAAACTATCACAATTTTAACTGTGTTCTGATTTTTACATCAAATAAGGGTCAGATTCAGCCATTATCATACTTTGTCCTTTGTCCATATTTTGAAAGTTATGGATTTCTTTTAAGGATTTCCTTGTACATTCATGTAACTTCTTTGTCAAGAATAAGAATACTGATACAATGATAGTTTGTTATCACAGGTGTGAATAAATAAACCTTTCTCAAGGTAATTAGTCTTATCTTTTTAGAATCTATATCACCTAACATTAATACTCATGTGAAGATAACCATTCCATACTGTCTATATGATTTCTTTGTGTTCTTGTGTTTCAGGTTTATAAGGAAATGAGTTTGAGATACAGAAAACTAGAGCGGGAAATTGCCAACCAACAGTAGCGGAGTGATGTCCTGAATTAATTAGTCTGGTCGTTAATTAATGGTAGCTGACTCCTTTTATATTTGGTGCTATCTCCACCTTGTTTAATTTTATTCGTTGTTATGTAAGTGAGATGGATCACTTCCGATGTTTATGTTAGATGAATTATATATCGTAGCTCATCCCTTGGCGGACAATAAATTAATTATGCACATCTTTCCTGGAATTTTAGTTCAATTTTTAGGCTATTTTTAATCTTTATTTGTAATGTGCAATTTGATTGGATAGAAAAGTTAGTTTTTATCATATAAGCTGTGTTGCCTCACAGTATGACAGTATCAATCCACTTGATGTTTTGTGTAAATTCTATACAAACTGAAGTCATTTTTGAAGGAAATTTGTCTTACTTTTTGGACAATGATAGAAAATTAAATTATAAGGAATGAATTTAATAGCTACCCAAATTTTACTTGTATAAGCTTGGTTGGAACACACTTTATACACAGATCAATAAGTGTAAACTGTCCCAATCAAAGTTATACAGTATAACTTGGGTAGCTATAAAATTCATTCCTTACTTTAAAAAAAAATCAATGAAAAATAAAATTCAGCCTGTAGGTAAACAAGAGAAGCTAGGGAAATAATAATTAGAGTTATAATTTACTATAATGTATACAGTACATGAAAAAAAAGAATTCACTGGGAAATTTTTGATTCTGTTTTATTTTCAACCCTTGTCTTCAGTTGTTGAATTCCAAACTGGACAAATTCAACAGAATAGGAGTTTTATCTTTTTAAACCAGCTGTCTTTTTGCAAATTTAAATTTGCAGGTGCAAGTGTGATTGCAAAAATTTTGATTCATTGTAAGCGTTATTTATTATATCCATTAAGTTCATTATGCATTTTAAAACCACAGGGAATGATAATAGGTTTGCTATAAGCATGAATACATTATAAATATGTTCATTGTATCCATGTTTTACTGTAAACAGTCTCTTCTTCATGCAAATGATGTATAATAGAACACCTTCATTCATTCCTAGTGGTACACAAGGCCACCACAGGACGTTTTCATTCAATTTGTGGTGTACAAAGGCCTCCACACTCAAATCCTAGTGGTGCCCAAGGCCTCCACAGAACACTCTCATTCAGTTAGTGGTGCACGAGTCCTCCACACTCCTAGTGGTAGACAAAGCCTCATTCAATTTGTGGTGCTTGAGGCCTCCACACTCCTAGTGGTACACAAAGCCTCATTCAATTTGTGGTGCACAGGGTCTCCACACTCTTAGTGGTACACAAGGCCTCCACAGACTGCACCAGCTCACTTCTACTGTCCCTGCCACTATACCAAATTAACGTCATTGGATTTTAAGATTTTATTTTACTGAGGGAACAGCGAGTTTGCATTTGGGGGGGGGGGGGGGGATTCTGAGCACCAAAGTACTGATATCTCTGATTTTTATAACCATCAATTTAATATACATCTCTTCACGTTAGAAAGAGATCTGTAACCTGCTTCATTTTTGCATGATTGATAAGGTATGTTGTTCCTGGGCTATCAACAACTGAGAAATATGTTCAGGTCATTACTGTTGACAGCATTAACTCAACTGAGATAACTTTCAATGGGATAAATGGCCATTTTCCCTTTATAATAGTGTCAAGTTAAAAGGTCATTTCTGTCAGATTTTGCTCTGCAAGATACTAGTATGCTGAAATTATGTGCAATTTAATTATAAATCATTTCTTTTGCAAAATTATTTGTGTGAATTAAAGCAGATTTTTATATGAGCGACTAGAGGGATGATAAATCTATTGCCAGTGACATAAAAATGTGTCCTTATCTTGACTAAAGGACAACAATTATAACTTTACGAATGGCACTTTCCCACAGGCACTTGTTTCTGTGATAATTTTTTTACCCATAGTAAAATAATATCTTACTCCAAGTTACATGGAGGAACCCCTCCCCGGAATCGCAGTCATGTATACACTTTGAATTCAGAGAAAATGCACTGGCAAACTGTTTATTACCATTCTCTCTATGATGATTTATCTACAAAGCCATGGTATGCTTGTCTTTATTTTCTACCTCTTTGGGGTAAAAAAAAATTCAGTGTCTGTGCACTTTCCATATTTCTTTTTATGCCTTGACATGAATACAGTGTTGGCATCAGGCTCTTAGCAACGGTTTCCAAAGAGGGACATCCCAAAAAATCTGACAAGTAAGAAAAAAATCCTTAACTGCCCAAATCCTGGAATTTGCCAGTTCTCGACCTCACAGCAACTAAAAATTTAGGGGTGGGCACCAGCATCTAAATGAAAATTTACTATACCTAAATACATGTACTATACTCAAAAAAGGCCCCCCTCCACCCTCCCGCGTTCTACGGGCCTAAGAATATAGTGTTTGTTATGTCTATCTTCTGTCCTTTGCATCCAGCACAGTTTCAAAGAAACTGTTCGATATTTTAACCAAAATTCATACACTGATACATATAGATGAAGATGAAGCTGTGGCATAATTTTCTAACCTTGACCTCCCCTGTGACCTTGACCTCACAATTCCCTATTTTTATTTAGCTCAGTTCCAAAGGTAAGATTCAGTCTAAGAATATTTTTATCAAAATTTATATGCTGATATACATGTATTATGGTGGGAAGTATTCAACTGTGTCATGGTTTTATAACCTTGACCTTGATTATGACCTTGACCTCACTACATTTTTTTAATTAAAAGAATATTAATTATTTTGCATGTAGCATAATTTAGAAGATTTTCATCCAATTTTAAAATACTGATACATATTTGTGGGAACTATTCCTTACGGTTCTGACCTTCCCCTGACCTCTTACATAACTACTAAAGATTTTTGTTTACTCAAACTTTATGTACTGATACAAATTGGTAAGAGCTATTCGACTGTGTCATAATTTTCTGATCCTTATTTTTTGTATGGTTTTCACCTTCCCTGACCTTCAACTTTACCTTTGAAGAATTTTTAATCGAACTCAATATACTAAGAAAGATACTCGTGAGAGCAATTCAACTGCGTCATCATTTTTTACCTTGACTTATCTAATGACCTTGCCCTCACTATTCCTTCATTTTGCACTTACTTGAGATTTAGGGGGAAAAAAGTGTTAAAAAATATTTTCATTAAACTTTGTATACTAATACAAATTGATGAGAGCGATTAAAATGTATCGTATTTATTTTAGGGGGGGGGGGGGGGCATTCATGTCCTATGGACATATTTCTAGTTTTGTTTTAATTTTGTGTTTTAGCAAGACCGAAGGAATTTTGGGGAAAAGTGTGAAGTACTTATCTAGAGGGACATTTTTTAACTGACTACAATTTTGAATTTATTTGCAAAGAGAGGAAGTTTCATCTTTTGTGAGAATTCTAGTGCTATATTGTGTAACATCTTGATCAATTTCTACATTAAAACATTCCTTATAATTTTCTAGCACAAAGGATTTCTGTAATTATTTAATGAGAATAATTAATTAACTTCCTGATCCGTTGTTAAATGTGGATAATTCTGTGGATTAATGATTGATTGAATGTTGTTTTACGTCCCATTCGAGAATTTTTCACTCATATAGAGACGTCACCATATACCGGAGAAGGGTTTCAAATTTTGACCTTTACTCGGCACTCAGGGCCATTGAGCAGTGAGGGATTTTTATCGTGCCAACGCCTGCCGTGACACGGGACCTCGGTTTTTAAGGTCCCATCCGAAGGATCCCTGTGGATTAATTAATGAACGAAGACACGAACAACTTTCGGTTATCAGTGATGCATGATAATTTATTCAACCTCGGGCGTCTATATACAAATGTTAAATGAAATCTTTTTTTTGTTTTGTCCTGAAAACAAATAAAGCAGAAAGTTAATGAAGAGATACAATATACGATATCTATAAATAATCCTCAAAATGTGCAAATGAAATTGACCCATGTTTAATCAAAATCTATTTCTCACTTGAGAAATAAGTAAATATAGGAAGTATATTTGACTTGAAATATATTTTATGAAAGTCTTAAATATGTGATCAAAGACGTAGATTTCCTTTTTTTATTTTAGATACTTCAGTATGTGTATCGAATTGATTGATATTCGGTTTTATATTTACCTTACACCGGACTGTCTAGAAGACCGGTTTATATTCACGTCCTCCATCTAGTCCTCCGTAAGTGGAAAATCTATAACTATATCCGGGGCTGGAATATTGTCGCCTGACTGTGGTAACTTGTGGTCCGTAATATGTACGGGGAAAACGATACGTCCTCCGGAAGGAATATGAGGAAGGAAAGCCTGTGGTTCGTCTTAAAACTGATGCGGAACTGAACCCGGGAATATAATCCCCTGATTCGAGGTAATCTAAGCCTGAACTGCCGGAGCCACGAAGGTAATCTAAGCTTGAACTGCCGGACAAGGATCCGAAGCCAGTTTCCCCTGCGACCGATCCGACATCGGAGAAATCGCCACCAAATCTGGGTCCGCTGTCGTAAAATCTCTCCCGGTATACTGAACTCCCGCCACTTCGGAGAGGGTTATATTCGTCTAATATGTCTGAATAGCCGCTCGTGTAGGGTCCTGGAAAATCACTATAAGCAGTGGTGGAGGATGAAAACCCTGAATAAGGTACGAGATTACCAACCCTGGACGATGAGGAAGTTGGGAAAAAATCCGATCCAGCGTCCGAATCTGAAAGGCCGGCGGCTGCTGAACTTGAAGGGCCGACGGGTAATGAACCACCTCCTGAAAGGCCGGCGGCTAATGAACCACCTCCTGAAAGGCCGGAACCACTACCAACCAGTTCTGTTGGCAACGAAAAATCACCGGATCCTGGTCCATTTGATCCAAGTGGTCCACCTGGTCCTGCTGGCCCTAACCCAGGTCCATCCACTGGTCCGATATCGGATCCAGAATCAAAAGGTATGGGTGCAGCGGATGGACCACTTACATCAACACCTCGGTATAATTCTTCGTAACCAATACTTGGTCCTATACCTGAGGTAGAGCTTCTAACAAATGTGCTGTCTAGATCACGCGGGTATCCAGGTGGTGCAGCTACATTGGGGCCAGACCCAGCAGGTCCAACAAAAGCGGGTCGTAATCCAGCAGGTACAACATAATCTGGTCCTACTGGTGCAGCAAATGGCCCATCATAATCAGGACCACTGTATAGCTCTTGATAGGTTAAGCTCGATCCACCAGGCAGCGTTGAACTTCGAACAAAGGTGCTGTCTAGACCAGATCCAATAGGGGAATCTCCAAAGTATACACCTCCTTGAGAGAGGGATGATCGCCTGAGAGCAGCGATGTCGTACACCGAGTAAACTCGAAGTCCCCTAGATCGAAGTATTCTGGCCACTAGCTCAGAGTATTGGTTTTGGTATCCGGGAACAAACCTTGTACCAAGGTCGATAACCCTAGGAGGGTTACCGAAAACTGACGCGGCAAGGAGAAGTAGCACGCAGAACCGCATATTGGTCGTCTGAAATGAGAGTCGAAAGGTTTTTATGGTACAAAATGTTAAGAATTTTTTTTCCTAGTCTATAATGATCATCTGCAAAAATATAGTACAGAACGGTGATATACAAGTAGAGATAGAATATATATGAGTGCCTATAGTCCTGGTATTTGAAAATTAATGTAATTTAAGGGCCGAGAAATGTGGCGAGTTAGGGTACCGAGTATCTTTGAAGCCAAGATGATTTTCGACTACCTAATCAATACATAGGGCCCAAGGAGGGTGTGACCGGTCAACAGGGGATGTTTACTCCTCCAAGACACCTGATCTCACCTCTGGAATTTCCAGGGGTCCGTGTTTTATGCCCATTTCACAGAATTCTATTGTTTATAGATTTTTCGAGATCGATCACTGATCGTTTTCTTCACCGTTTTCATCTTGTAGACAGATGTACACGTAGAATTTTGTCAGGGAAATGTATTGACGGCATTAGCTGTAGTGTTGAGCGAAGACTTTCCCGATGTGATGCAGGGAGTCTTTATTTTCATTTTTTTACCTGTCTTCCATCCAACTTCAAGTTTTTTTTAGAATTATCGAAATAATTTAAATTCTGGTTATACTTTAAATGCATGTAGTCCATGCTTCCTTGGGTATCTACATGTATATCTATATTAGAAACAAGAATTTTTTGAGACCTTTAAAGTCATATATATGGAAATCTCTTTTTAAAAGTTATGTTCTCATTGTATTATTCATGTCGGTGACCAAAAATATTGAGGCTTAATTCATCGTGAAATATATATATTTTAAGGCCATTGCTTTTAATAAGACTCACTAATCATAATTTGAGCCGAAAATTCAGATATTATCTCCATTAAAAGGAAAATGAAATCTAACTGAAGTGAAAGTTAAGGTAATGGATATTGTTGTAGCTTAAAGAATACGCAAATTAAACTGTAAGCACCCTCACCAAAAGCGAAAGTAGAACAATTCTTGAATAAAAGAAAAAATGTAACCATATCGAAACTTACCCGGTGCCCTGGCAAATGTGGGATTTCTCGCAGAAGTGGACAAAAGATTTTGTTCTTTTGAAATGGATTTTATATCGTAGCCACACCCTCTTACTGTTGAGGTAAACGTCAATCATCAGACAGTAACCAATAGAATAGTGGTCCTTTTGTCCAGGCCTATTCAAAACAATTTAAATGCATTGTCGTTTCTGCAAAAAATCCTCGATAACAAATGTGCGGTGACCCAAAGATGGTTAATTGAGAAATCCATTATCATGCTTTTTGGTTACGATGCACCAATGAACAAAAGCCATTGATATTTCTTAATTTTAAAAGTACTGAATCTTCATCAATTCATATAGCACTGAATCACTTTTAGGGAAATGACGTAAAACTTTTTTTTCCTCCTATTCCTTCAAGTTTGCTCAAAATAATTAGTGAAAAAGTGGGAAATCTTCCTTTTTCATAATTTTCTTGATGAATGTAAGAAATGGACTAAATAGTTGATGGATAGGTATCATATTGATCAACGTTAGACCACGTACAACGTACAATAGTACGTTCTACGTACAATAGATTCAAAAAGTATAGAAGTCACCTATCAAGTAGATGCAGTAAGAACAGTTTTTACAGAAGATCCACATAGTATAGAGGTCACCTTGTCAGGTAGATGCAGTAAGAACAGTTTCTACAGTAGATTCACAAGTACAAAGGTCACCTTCTCAGCAGGATGGAACTTTTCGTCCTCAACACATTATAAAAAGGATATTTGTTACAGTCGGTTACTATGACAAGTTATGAAGAGCCTTATTTATACGCACGTATACTACAGCAATTCCTCAGAGTACGACTGCAATTGAGTCGGTAAATACAGCTCTGTTTTTAGTCATCAAAGCGTTTGGTATAAAGGATGTCCTTTGTACGCCAGACTCTTGGTGTGTTCGACCGACCTAAAAATAGAGTGTATTCGTGGCTCTCCTGAAAACTTCGAACTTAAGATGATGTTCTTTCATAAATGTCATATATCAAAGGTCAAGGCCATTGTTACAGTGGGTCAGCTATCCTGTTCTTTCAGTTTTACTCAAGAATCACCAAAAAATGGATACTTCAGACATAACTTGTATTTTTGCATTAAAGTTTCACTAGTGACTTATGGTCATTTCTCTTGGTAAATTCGTTATATCTTTCTATTAGAGATGTTTCTGAATATGAAACTAATCCGAATCTGAAAATGAATATGAAACGAATCTGAATCGGAGGAATCTCGATCCCGATTTGAAAATTAATACATGTATACATGATATCAAAATTATACATTGAGAATATGATTAATGATCTCTTTCCTTTGGTACATTAATCTGTAACCTGTATAAAAATATTATAATGTGTTTGACATATATTGGAAGTAATAAGTCCATGATTTATATCGTATATGGATGTTATCTTTGTACACGTATATTACTTGTAGCAATGTGGAAATTTATGAAGTAAGCTAGATTTATTCTCTTCTTGGACTAAGAAGTGTGTTTGAAATGTCAAGAATGAACCAGGAATTTTGAATAGGGTGGGAGGGGGACATACTAATAAACTCCTAGAGGGAAATAAATAATCACAATATTTCTCCGACTAGGACTCGGATATTTTTTGACCCAAAAAAAAAAAATCCCAATTCTCTCCAGACATGAAAAAATCTATCTGTGTATGTGGGCTTAAGTAATTCTCTTTGACCGACTTACAAGGGGTCTTTTTTTCCCAGGGGAGGACCAGAGGGGGGGGGGGGGCTGGCAAGTTCATCTTTGCTTACTCTATTACATACAATTTAATAACTCTAAAAAATCATTAAATTGGGGGTGAGGGATTGACTACTTTGAAACCTTCCACCACTTGATCGCTACTGAACGGCCTCTCAGTTCAAGTCGTCGAAGTTAATGGTATGACATCAGGCCCGTAAGAATTGGGGGAGACATGGAGGCCAGCCCCCCTCCTATTAATTGTCCCATTATATACTACACAATATAATCAAATCGAGATCATCAAAAATACGGTTATTTGTGTCCTCATATAAAAAAATTGTAGACTTTTGTTTTATGTTCGTTAAAAAAATGTTCAGTTGCGATGCATTCCAGTACTGTAATTGACTCCTACAGATCATATATGTTACATACTATATGTACTATTAATAAGTGTTTTTGATAAATACGAAACCTGTAAGTTTTGTATTATTGCATTTTTCAACTCACTAGATGTTCATTCCTTGCGGGAATCGTGTTCCGTTGTCAGAAAATGAAGACAGGAGGAGGCAGGCAAAAATCTTTGAGATGTAGGAGACAAACTCAACGTTTTACTTCTCACTTTAATAAGCTACATCTTTCGCCAATCGAGGAAATTTTCTGAGAAATGAAAGGAAACCTTAAAACTAGAAAATGTCAATCGCCAAAAAAATTGCCTGCGGAAAGTGGCCAAGGGGTGGCTTAAAAAAGTTATTTATCGGACATAATTTTCAATTACATTTAAATATAAAAAATGGCTCGTATGTATGCATTTACACAGAATATTGTTTAAAAAAAAAAAGGTCCAGAACACGATTCTTGCGAGGAACAAATAAGGTAAGTAGGTGAATAATACAACAATAATACATCACGAGCACCTTTTCAATTCACGGGTGTATAATTAAGAAATTTTCTTGTGCTGAAATCTTTCTCAGTTTTCAAATCGGGATCGAGATCCCTTTGATTCAGATTCGTTTGAGATTCATTATCTGATTCGATTCATATTCAGAAACATCTCTATTAATTTGTCGATTCTCAGAAGTCACAAATGAAAATGTTTTGATACTTCACGGCTGTTTTTGTACTTACATAGATGAAATATGTGAAGATGGCGAACATACGTGGTGTCTTATAATTAAGGTCATTTTTACAAGGTCAGAGTCTTTTTAATCATAGCAATGGAGAAAAATATTGTCTGGTGGCTATCTCAATTCCAATAGAAAAAAATTGTCATTTCAAATAATGGTTGGACTTACTCAGATGGTGTGCTTTGACCTCAAATTATGGTGATATCTCAAAGGTCAAGGTCATTGTATCCGTAGAGTGTAACATTTTGTTCTTTAAATGCTATAGTACACGAATAAAACAGAATGATTTGTCCACCCCCCCCCCCCAACACCCAGCACACATGAATGACTTGATACTTTATCCAGTACTAGTAGTTTAGTCAAATGTTTTTAATGACCTTGGCTGAAGTTCATACCTCAGTGACATGCAGCTACTAGGTTAAAAATTAAAATTTAGACCAATTTATATTATATAAGCCACAGCTGAAGACCGTAATTGGATACAATTGCATGAAATTTATTTCTCGCCTAGAAGGTGCATATTTTCCTAGATTCATGGTCAAATGGTAAAGTTGAAGGTCATAACAGATGTTTAGCTAAGCCTTTGTATGGTCCAAAATAATTTAGACAGCCGGTTTGCTCTCTTTTCTTGTATGCATAATGAATGTTCCAAGTGTTTCTTTTTCCTGGAATTAACTGGGATTAGTTTATATGAATACATTTTTGTAGATAGGCGGGGTTAACCAACATTATTAAGTAGATGACAAGTTTTATATATTTTCTCCTTTACAAAACCAGTACCAGCTCGAACTTTTCCATTGAAAATTAACCCATTTATCATTCTTTATTACGTGTAAGTACATACATGTAAATGATCAATTGTCTTAATGATATTTGAAAAAAAAAGACAGGATAATGAAAATGAACAATGATATCTTTAGTACGAATCAGGATAATTTGCATAATATGTGCTCAGCATTTGAAATTTGAATGATAAGCCGGAAATCGTACCCCTTAACCTGTATCTTATCAACTATATATCCCCTGAGTAATTTCACTTCACAATTATTTATTTTTGTGTGCACATAAATTTATCACCTTAGTGAATTATTTTTTTAACAACAAAAGACAAGTTTTAAAAATTGCCCATATATCGTGGAATGTCTGTCTCCAAACATGCAAGATTATTACCAATAAAATCAATATACATGTATCTATATACCAGTACTAGTATATGTCAACATGCACGTGGGACCTTACATGCAAGATGAAATTTAACTAATTTAATTTTAAATTGCTAATTGTAATAGAGATTGTTTTCGATGTTCTATAAACAGCTCCCCTGTACACTCTGGTAATGTTTCCAATGTCTGAGGAACATTCATTAGATTCCTACTAAAACGTACATCACATTTTAAAATTTTTCTCAAAGAAAAATTGTAGACATAATCTTAATCAATTTGATTTTATCACATGTGCACGCACACATGCTGTCATTTTCTATGAATGATCTCATACTTCATGGAGACTCAATATATGCACATATTTTAAATTCAAATTATTTCATTGAAAAGTATAGAAAAGTTACATGCATTCTAGCATTATATCCAATTAGCCAATCATATCTGACGTGTTTGCTGCTTTCTCTTATACACCACTTTAAAGTGCCTCGTGATGGAACCTATATTTCAAATTTCAAGGAACATTTAAAACGAAAAAGTAAATGTAAAGAGTTTTGTATCATCTGATCAGAATCAACAGCATGGGACTGCGCCTGCTTACATGCTACATAAATGAAATGATTCAGTCATCTAGTATAAACTGTTGATTTTTAAGTATTTTAATTGAGAAATGTCTTTCATGGAAATCCTAGCAAAAATAAATAAATAAATAAAATAAATAAATAAATAAATAAATAAATAAATAAATTTTTTAAAAAAAAATTACAAGAAGAAAAAAAAGGGGTTCCTAAACTATATCAGGGAAACTTATGACATTATTGTGTCAACTTGCAATTTAATTAAGTTTACATTTAACTTGAATATGTCGACATGCAATTATTCATGCCAACTTGGAACTTAAGGAGGGATTCTTGTCTGGTTTCTGACTAGCTGAAATATTCAAAGTATATTTCCTTATATGTTTTATATATTTAGATGTAAGAGATTTAAAAAATGATAGTTTTCTTTCCTCATCACAATTGTACAACTTTAAATAGAAATGGTAAACTGAGTTTGAAATCTAACAGGGACTATATTTTTGGCGGAATGGCGGCGTATGAAAA